GCAACCTTAGATCCGCTTTACTAAATTCAATCATTTTTTTTGCGTTTATTGATTGGCGCGAGATGAATAATTGTTTCACCTGTCTAAATCCTGAATCCTGGAAGTATGTTCCAGCGAAATCCGCAACAAGCCTAACGTTGTGCCTTATTTACCAAGTTCTGGACTTCTGGGCTTTTCGTGATGTCAAAGAAAGGTTCTGCTGGTCCAAGGAATGGTTTGCAACTCCGTAAGTCTTCCAAGTTGGTCCGCTATTTGCTATTTCATTCCCCTCGATTCCGTGGTGCCCTGGTACCCGCATGAAAGGGTGACTGAATTGCGAGACGCCAGTTATTTTAGGAGTAGTTGGCAGTCCCATACCAGTCTGGAGTTACGGACGAAGCTACTCAGAGCTCTTATTGTCGGAATTGATATAGATTTTCGCTCTTCGCAGCTCTCTTTCGAGACACTTTCTAGCGCAAAGTTCTTGCTTCCGCTTGAAATATGGTTGGGCTTTTCTCCTGCTGTTGATATTTTACAAAGTGGGCCCCATATACCCTCGCTGCAGTCCCTTGCTCTGTTTCCGTTCCGTCTGTATACTAGACAGATGACTGGTTCGGAAATACAGGTACGATATTTCCTCCATTGAAGCCCTCGATAGTCACTTTGAAGGAATGTTCAAATTCATACTTATGTTGCATGTGGTCAACTTGTTTTGCTATTCACATTTGTGCATTCTTCCATAATGCTCACGTGGCCGACAAAGTCCCCGTCTTTAAGTTTTAGGGACTGCATTATTCTCGTGGCTCCTATGTAGGCCTCTTACCTTAACTATTATATCTAGTGCGGGAAGGCCCAACATGACCTCTATTGCGGCAGTTGGAGAGGTGTTAATTGCTCCTGTAATTCCAAGACATGCCCTTCTGACAGTTGGCAATCGGTTTTGCACTGTCTCTTGTTTTACTTCTGGCCACCGTACGATTCCAATGTAAGTGACCATGGAACTTATAACCATTGTAAATAACCAATAGATCATTTTTGGCTTTAGACCCCAAGTCTTGCTGAGTTTTCTCCGGCATGTTCAGTATGGGCCCGATTGGTTACTCTTTTAAGATGTTGGTTCCAAGTAAGTTTATGAATTTATGATCCAAGATGACTCTAATCTATACTTAACCTCATTTGCGAAGTTGATTTGTATCCCATTCCCATTAGGCAATCCAAAATACGTGACACTCAAGACTCAAGATGGCGTGGCAGCCACACTTGGGCCAAAAAACACAAAAAAAAATATCTAGTTTCTGCTTGATTCAATAGTTCAGGTACCATCGTCACCAAAAGTAACTGGGACACAAATAATGTATAATATTCTCCTGGACTAATTTTACTGTCATTCATTTCAATGCATTTAATGCATAGTTTGACAAATATTTGACAATAAAATTCATATAATAGGACAAGAGCAAATGTGATGCTGTCCCAGTTACTTTTGGTGACGATGGTACTTAGTCAGCAAATATTTTATTAAATAATCAAAATCAAAGTTGCAAGCAAAACTCTAAGCAAAATAATTTAAAATACGCATAAAAACATATTCAAAACAAACTTGCTTGGCCGCCACGCCATATTGAATCTTCCTTTTTGACAGATGAATTGAATTGCCTAATAGGCAAGCCAACGACTTGTCCTAATGGCGCCTGATTGGCAAACAAAAAACATATGCTTTTTTTTGGCGGGATTATTAATACACAGGGCAAGTTCTCAAATTTGACATTTTTGTGATATCTTTGATATGTAACGACCCATATTCTAACCTCATAAAAATTTCAAAATGCCAGATGGTTGGCAAAATCACGTGGTTTGGATTTCCTAATTTAGGGCCAAATTATGGACTGACTGGTAAACGTCTGGTTGTTACCTAGCAGGTACTTTCTATGCACTAGAGAATAGGAAGTACCTGCTAGGTAACAACCAGACACTTACCAGTTGGTCCATAATTTGGCCCTTAAGGTTGGAGCTGTTAATTTAACCTCCTTTTCCCTGTAAAACGTACAATAATGGTTTTTATTTTCTACTTAACTATTATAGATCCATAATACCTAGGAAACGAAATACGTTAACATACCTATAACAACCTGATCCATAACGCCCGCTTTTGCGGGCGTTATGGATCCGCTTATAAAACCCTGAGGTGTTTTTGTTGTTGTTGTTTTATTAATTTGCACTTTACTCTAGGCAGCCACTAAATTTCTGACCGAAAATAATTTTATGTCATACCAATACATTATTGTGTTTTTATACCTTGGATACCATCTACATAATTCATTACTTTATGCCCGTGCGGGCATAAAGTACACATTATGGCCCGCGCGGGCATAAAGTACACATTATGGCCCGCGCGGGCATAAAGACGCAAAAAACAGTTTTCAATTAACTTATTCTTTATTAACAAAATATAAATTTACGCTTATAAACATATTATTTTTGTCAAAAAATGATTATTTTGCACACTGATGACAATTTGCGAAGTGACACTTTTTCCTAGGTATTTATTATTCATAACCAACTGGTATGACATAAAAGTTTGTATGCACCACGGGTACTAATAGATAATATACCCTCGGGCGACTTACGACCCCTCGGGCCAGAGGCCCTCGGCTTTGTAAGACTGTCGCCCTCAGGGCATAATCATCTACTTAGTACCCTTGATACATAAATAACTATTCGGTCTAGTCAGGATTCGAACCCGGTCTACCATCAACGTTTCCCATGTATTCTTCGTCGATTTTTAACTGACACTTTCCGTATGAGGAGCGAGGGGGTGTTTTATATGGCAAAAACAGGTGTGACGTCAGGTAACCATTGGCGTTCTAATGTAGGGAGCCACCAGCTCACATTCCGTCCGAGTATCAGATTAAAATCGACGGCGTGTTAACCCACACGATCACCACCGTTGCCTTATGAAATGTTTATAGATATATCCTCTTCACAATCCGATGTCCCTAGGTGTAGGTAAATTTATCACCTTTCCCTATCAAATAGCATTGAAAGGTGATTTTACCTGTACCTGCCTGTGGACGCATCGGATTGTGGACGGATAATACAGGGTGTCCCAATAGAAAGTGACCGATTATAAATGCTTATAACTTCTAAACCAGGTGTGCTGGCTACCTGCGATTTGCACCATTCGACTTCTCTTGGCCTAAAGTTTTTTTTAGTTAGTTGCAATTTTTTTTCACACTTATACAGGGCGAGTAAAAAATGCCGTTTTTCAACATCGAAATTCTTTACTATTTTCATTGAAACACCATGTAAGTTGCAACGCCAAAATTAAGAGTCGTGTACAAGGTATTGATGCACCAATAAACATCGGGCATGGAACTTGAAGTTTTAGCCCTAAAAAATTGAAATAGAAATTTGGCCCAAAAATAAATGCTTTTTTTTAGGTTCAAAAAAAGCCGACGTTTATTGGCAAATTAATACCTTGGTCACGACTCTTAATTTTGGCCTTGCAACATACAGGGTGTTCCATTAAAAATAGTGGAGAATTTCGATTTTGAAAAACAGCATTTTTTTTATTTGCCCTGTATAGGTGTGAAAAAAATTAGCAACTAACTGAACAAAAACTTTAGGCCAAGAAAAGTGGAATGGCGCAAATCGCAGGTAGCCAGCACACCTGGTCTAAAAGTTATAAGCATTTAAAATCGGTCACTTTCTATTGGGACACCCTGTATATTAATTTATTTCGTTTGTAAATACAAGTCATAGGTACAGGTACAGGTCACAGGTACAGGTACAGGTCACAAGTACAGGTACATGTCAAAATACAAAACAATATTCTGTCACACAAGTTTAACTGATTTTGTTAATAACAAATTGATGAAAGAACATTGTGTTGAGTAGAAAATAAAGCATTGCATGTACCACGGGGATTTTAAGATTATAATGCCCTTGGTACATAAATAGCTATTTCGGGGTTAACATTTAAACCCTCCTGTAGACACCATCTAATAACATTTGGGGCATTTTGCATGGGGTCACTAATGATCCTGTCATGCTTACACCTAATGATGACTGTGAGGTCGTCAGCATATCCTAAGGACCGTGATCCCTTAGGCGCTTAGCGGGATGAGAAATTCATCTACTTTCAATGACCACAGCAGTAGGGACAGTTCACCCCCTTGTGGGCATCCCTTGACTGCTGAGACAGTTGCAGAGTTAGGTACTTTGATTTCCCTATTCTCAAGCATGGTTTCAATCCATACAATTGTAGTATCGTCAAAGCCCCTATTTCTAGCCGCTTTTCTTATGAATTCATGTAAAATGTTATCGAAATCTCCTTCTATATAGAGCGGTGAAACACGAGATATAGAGCGGTGAAACATGAGATATAGGGCGGTTTCTTGACTTGAGTGTGCCCTTTCAATCTTAGCGACAAAACTGTGGTGGGCTATCTCAGTTGATTTACCTGACTGATAGGCAAATTGATTTTTTTTAGCCAGCTTTCATTAGGAATTAACAGCTGATGTGTGAATCAACGGTTTTCTCCATTTTTTTTAGGAGAAACGAGATTAGGTAGAATTTGGTTTGAAAGATTTACTGTAATTGTGGTAGAGCGCGTACCAGCCTTCGAAATGAAGATCACATTCACATCCCGCTAACTGGTGGGAATCTGGCCTAATTTTGTAGCTAGCTTTGAACATTTTTGCTAGGTGTGGTGCAAATTCTCCCAGATCCTGTTGTGAGAGGACCGAAAAAATCCCATTTTAACCTAGTGACTTGTAGGGCTGGAAGCTGTTTATAGCCCATTTAATCTTATTCTCAGTGAATATCCTTCGTAGGCTTTTGTTTGTGGTTGGTCAGTTGCGGAACGCTTTTTACAACCACAGCTCTTTTCCTATTAAGTTGCCACTTGGTAGATCCTTAAGAGTGTGTTTGCAAAAGTAATAAAGATAATTTTTTTAGGTTCACTCACATGAAAACTTTAAAACTTGCTGATTTAATCTTAAAAATTAATTTTATTCCAGGTCTGGATCACTGTCTGGGCGTTAGCCTGCATTGCCGCCAGTCTAGGGTCACTGCTAACCCTTGCTCTAGGCGGCGGAAGGGTCCGAGCGCCTCCTCTACTAGGCCTATCGCTGTGCTACCTCCTGGTAGGAGCCGGATGGGCTCTGAGGTCTTTTGCGGGACCTACCGGAGGCTCGTGCCGAATTCCGAGTCCGACTGGCTTGAAAACGGACGACGGGTTACCGAATGTGATTTGCGCTTTCGTCTTTCTTTTGCTGTATTATTTCGGGATGGCTGCAAATGCTTGGTAAGTTATTTTAGATGTTTTTAGCCATAAGAATTTTCTAGTTAGGAAAAACTGAGAGAGGAAACTTTCTAATGTAAATAGTTACTCGCAAAAATGCACATTTATTTGGAAAATTGAATTGAAGTTTTCCAGTTATTAGTTATAAGCTCAGATCCTCTTCTCGACTTTTGACACAAATCAAGAGAAATAATGTAGGTAGATGCTTTCATCAAATCCATAATATCCCAAAATATGTCGGATATAGGTACCTATTTATATTCTCTTCGTAGACAGGTTGTGTCAGAATTGAGAAGAAGACAGCAAATTGAATAGCGAGACGGCAATAAAAAGCCCTTATTTGTTACAAAGTCTCAGCATCAGTATCAGATATTCAAATTTAAAAATATTAGTCACAGTACCTAGTAAACATTTCAAATAAAATAATCAGGATACCAACGAAGGCATAAACCTCCACGGTATATCGACCCAAAGCAGCGAAAGAAACCCGACCGTAATAATTTATATCGGACCATCACGTAGCAGGTGAGCGGTCAACCAGGTTTTTTATTTCTTGTGAGGCTCTTTCTCATTTTCATGCATATAGGGCCATACTCGTACCTTGTACTGAAATACGTTCTTTTTTAATTCTGTGAATCATGAGGCCTACGATGCTATATTAAAATGACTTAAGATTAAGTCAAACAACTCAGTTACATGCATCTGAATAAAATTAACATAATGTTAAACAAATCATTAATCAATAAAAGTCTGGGAGAACAAGAAAACCCTTAGAAATCCAAACAATTAATTTGTTGTCGAGATTCTCCTGTCTGATTGATGGTAGTCTATAGTAGGCTCAGCAGGCAGGAACCTCGTTAACTACTGTCAGAAAACGAATGAGGAACCCGAAACTGAAAAATACCAACGAACGAGTATATAAAAGGCAAAAAGGCGTTCCCGAAATTTTTAGAATCGTTAACGATCGCCGAAAGTACGTGATTTCTGGCTTCTGCTTTATAGTAAGCCATAATTACTACCGCTTCGGTTTTTTTAAATGTAGGTAATCTCATTGCTACTGGTTTTCTTGTATTGGATTTTCCTAAACTTCTTCAGACTTCTTTGTGATAACTTTTTTCATAAACTTCCTTATACTTCTTTATTTCCTCTCTACCTTTTTTAGCTGAAACTAAAAACTCCCCAGAATTTCTATTTTGCATAATATAATCTGTTATCATTTGATAATGATTATTTTCTGTCCTTTCATTTCTCTAATAATTTTTCATATTACCTAAGATTTTCGCAAACTTTCGTAATAGGTACCTACTTATAATCAGTGTTTTATTCACCAAATTTTCTTTATTTTCAATTCATTTTTTATCAAAATTTACATAATTATGTATAAAGTTTTTGTAATAATAATTTGATAAATATATTCCCCTATTAAATTTCCTTTGAATGTCTCCTGACTTCTCAAGACTTCCATCAAACTTTGTGGTAACTTGGTTTCTACTTCCTCAATCCAGAGGAATAAAAACTTCCTCCATCATTTTGATCAATATTTTACATTTTTTCTTGGCTTCTTTTGATTTTTCTCAGACCTCCTCGGATTTCTTCAATTTTGCTCAGATTATCGCATACGTTTTTTATAAATTTCCTTTACTTCTTTTATAATTCTTAACTGGACTGAGGATATAAATTGTCTAGAAACAACTACCTCTATTCGATAAATATTTTTCTTGGATTTCCTTTGAACTCTTCCCAAATTCTTCAGACTGTCTTGATAATATTTAAACTTTTTCTTATTTCTGCAAGCTTTGTTGGATTTTCTTAATATTTCTTTTTAAATATATCTCATACTCTTGGATTTTTCGAAACTGCTCAGGACTTTTTCAATTCTTTTTTTTCCAGAAACTTCCTCAATACCTAATAATATTCTTACATCCTCCATCCTCTACATTCTCTTAGCTACAGGTAAAAACTTTTCCAGTGCTGTTTTCCTAAATTTTGCATTCTTCTTTTGCAAACTTCTTCGGATTTCTTCAAGCTTGCACAAACTATCGCATACTTTTTCCAAAAATTTCTCAAATACTTCTCTTACTTCCAGTGTTGCTAACTGCGGAACAACTATTATAGTATAGAACGCTATAAAATTATAGTACATTTGTACAAATTATAGTATCCTGCTGAAGACAGATGACCACCAATTGTCCTGGTGGGACACACAAAGATCGAACTATTATGAAATTTTCTGGACAAAACGAGAAAAGTCAGAGGCGTATCATACTAAAATTTTAAATTTATCAAATGAAAAATAAACCTATTGGAAATTAATGAAAATCGAGTAAATTAGTCATAAATGCACCTTTTAATAATTAATTTTTTTTTCTGGAAAACTATCCGAAGGAAAATTATGAAATTTTTTGAACAAAACGAGAAAAGTCAGGGGCGTATCATACTAAAATTTCAAATTTTTCCAGTGAAAAATAACTCCATTGGAAATTAATGAATATCAACTAAATTAGACATAAATGCACCATTTAACATTTTATTTTTTTTCTAGAAAACTATCCAGGGGAAAATTATGAAATTTTCTGAAAAAAAAAAGAAAAGTCAGGGGCGTATCATACTAAAATTTCAAATTTTTCGAATGGAAAATAACCGTATTGGAAATTAATGAAAATCAACTAAATTAGGCATAAATGCACCATCTAACATTTAATTTTTTTTCTGGAAAACTATTCAAGGGAAAATTATGACATTTTCTGGAAAAAAGAGGAAAGTCAGGGGCGTATCATAGTTAAATTACAAATTTTTTAAATGAAAAATAATCCCATTGGAAATTAATGAAAATCTACTTAATTAGGCATAAATGCACCATCTAACATTTTATTTTTTCTCTGGAAAACTATTCAGGGGAAAATTATGACATTTTCTGGACAAAAAGAGGAAAGTCAGGGGCGTATTATAGTAAAATTTCAAATTTTTCCAGTGGAAAATAACCTCATTGGAAATTAATGAATATCAACTAAATTAGGCATAAATGCACCATCTAACAGTTTTTTTTTTCTGGAAAACTGACCAGGGGAAAATTATGACATTTTCTGGAAAAAAGAAGAAAGTCAGGGACGTATCATAGTAAAATTTCAAATTTTTCAAATGGAAAATAACCGTATTGGAAATTAATGAAAATCAACTGAATAAGGCATAAATGCACCATCTAACATTTTATTTTTTTTCTGGAAAATTATTCAAGGGAACATTATGACATTTTCTGGAAAAAAAGAAGAAAGTCAGGAGCGTATCATAGTAAAATTTCAAATTTTTCCAGTGGAAAATAACCTCGTTGGAAATTGATGAATATTAACTAAATTAGGCATAAATGTACCATCTAACATTTTATTTTTTTTCTGTAAAACTATTCAAGGGAAAATTATGACATTTTCTGGAAAAAAAGAAGAGTCAGGAGCGTATCATAGTAAAATTTCAATTTTTTCCATTGGAAAATAACTTCAATGAAAATTAATGAATTTCAACTAAATTAGGCATAAATACACCATTTAACATTTTAGTTTTTTTTTCTGGAAAACTGTCCAAGAGAAAATTATGACATTTTCTGGAAAAAAAGAAGAAAGTCAGAGGCGTATCATAATAAAATTTCAAGTTTTTCAAATGGAAAATAATCTTATTGGAAATTAATGAAAATCAACTTAATTAGGCATAAATGCACCATCTAAAATTTTTATTTTTTTTTCTGGAAAACTATTCAAGGAAAAATTTTGACATATTCTGGAAGAAAAGAAGAAAGTCAGGGACGTATCATAGTAAAATTTCAAATTTTTCAAATGGAAAATAACCTCATTGGAAATTAATGAAAATCAACTAAATTAGGCATCTAACATTTTATTTTTTTTGTGGAAAACTATTCAGGGGAAAATTATGACATTTTCTGAAAAAAAAAGAGGAAAGTCAGGGGCGTATCATAGTAAAATTTCAAACTTTTCAAATGGAAAATAATCCTATTGGAAATTAATGAAAATCAACTAAATTAGGCATAAATGCACCATCTAACATTTCATTTTTTTTGTGGAAAACTATTCAGGGGAAAATTATGACATTTTCTGGAAAAAAAGAGGAAAATCAGGGGCGTATCATAGTAAAATTTCAAATTTTTCAAATAGAAAATAATCCTATTGGAAATTAATGAAAATCAACTTAATTAGACATAAATGCACCATCTAACATTTTATTTTTTTTGTGGAAAACTATTCAGGGGAAAATTATGACATTTTCTGGAGAAAAAGAGGAAAGTCAGGGGCGTATCATAGTAAAATTTCAAATTTTTCAAATGGAAAATAATCCTATTGGAAATTAGTGAAAATCAACTTAATTAGGCATAAATGCACCATCTAACATTTTATTTTTTTTTCTGGAAAACTGTCCAGGAGAAAATTATGACATGTTCTGAAAAAAGGAAGAAAATCAGGATCGTATCATAGTAAAGTTTCAAATTTTTCCAGTGAAAAATAACCCCATTGGAAATTAATAAAAATCAATTAAATTAGGCATAAATGCACCATCTAACATTTTATTTTTTTTCTAGAAAACTATTCAAAGAAAAATTATGAAATTTTCTGGACAAAATGAGGAAAGTCAGGGGCGTATCATACTAAAATTTCGAATTTTTCCAATGAAAAATAACCCCATTGGAAATTAATGAAAATCAACTAAATTAGATATAAATGCACCATTTAACATTATATTTTTTTTCTGGAAAACTGTCCAGGGGAAAATTATGACATTTTCTGGAAAAAAAGGAAAGTCAGGGACGTATCATACTAAAATTTCAAATTTTTCAAATGGAAAATAACCGTATTGGAAATTATTGAAAATCAACTAAATAAGGCATAAATGCACCATCTAACATTTTATTTTGTTTCTGGAAAACTATTTAAGGGAAAATTATGAAATTTTTTGGAAAAAAAGAGGAAAGTCAAAGGCGTATCATAGTAAAATTTCAAATT